TGCTTTGGAGAAAATAAGAGCAGGGCCTGGGAGAAGAGTGTGCTGGGGGACTTGGTCCTTTTTTAGAGGGTGGCCATGGGAGGGGACCCTGATGAAGTGACAACGGGGCAGACCCCTGATGGATGCGGGGTGCAGAGCTGTGCAGATATCCGGGCAAAGACCTCTCAGTGGAGAGTCCCTGAAGTGCGGGCCTGTGCGGTATGATGGCAGAACAGCAGGTGGCCAGTGTGCGGAGGGGAGTGGGCACCGGGGCGGGGAGATGACGTCAGAGAAGCAGGAAGAGAGTGTGAGCCATAGACAAACTTGGGCTTCTACTCCGAATCTGATGGGAAGCCATTTGGGGGGTTTCAGGGGAGGTGTAATGTGACTGATTCGTGTATTAAAAGGATTATCAGGCTGCTCTGTTGACAGTAGATTGTACGAGCTGGGGGATAAGGATGGAGACAAGGAGACCCGTCAGAGGCCATGGCAATCATCAGATGAGTGATGACAGCAGCTCGGACCAGATGATGGCGACAGCAGCGGAGGTGGCGAGGAGTGGTCAGATCGTGACCAGATCGTGGATATGTTCTGAATAAAAACCAGACGGTATTTACTAACATATTGGAAGTCGGGTGTGAGAAAGAAAGAAGACCAGTGTGACTCCAAGGCTTTGGCCTGAGCGCCTGAAAGGATGCGACTGTCATCAGCGGAGATGAGGATGACTTCCGGTAGAACAGGTTCCAGGCAGAAGATCTAGAGTACACTTTGCTCACGTTAAATCTAAGATATTTACCGACACCCAAATGGAGATGCTGAATTAACAGGCATCTGGGCAAGACACGGAGAGAGGGAGAATGGGAGGAAAAGAATCTGTCTGGGAGCTGACAGCATGAAGACAGCACTCAGCACCACGAGGCCGGATCGGGCCTCAGGGAGTGAGCGTAAATGGAGAGAGGAGGCCGACACACAGCCCTGGGCCACTCCACACTTGGCAAAGGAGGCGAAACCAGCAAAGACTGAGACAGAGCAGCTAGTGAGGTAGGAAAAGAATCGAGAGAGAGCAGTGTCTTGGAAGCCACGCGAGAGGGTTTCGAGGAGGGAGTGGTCACCTGCACACAGTGCTGGGACCAAGACTGAGAGCCAGCCCCTGGCTGTGAGACCAGGCACAGCACAAGGGAGCAAAGGCCTGATCCTCGTGGGTTCCAGAGAGAACGAGCCAGTTACCAATTTCCTGGAAACGCTGAGAAGAGAGGAAACGTCAAATGAGACCACGCGATGCAATCAGCAGAGCTCAGTCAGACACGCGACAAGACAGACGGCCCAATTCCTTCCCCAGACAAATTGTGAGGGAAAGTACGAGATGGAGGAGGAGCCTATAGATTAAAAAAGACTTAAGAGACATCTCAATCCCAATGTGTGGACCATATTTAAATCCTGATTCAAACAAAAAAAAAATGGAAACAATTGAAAATTTGACCATCGACTGGATATTTGAGTAGGTTACTGTGCGGGTAGTGGTGGTAACATCTGAGGTCATTTTTTTAAAAGAGTCCTTAC